TTTTTATAAGGGAGACTATAAATGAGCTTAACACAAAAGGCAGTAAGTGTACCTAAGTATTAAACAGGTTATATTGAACCCTCCTGGCTAGGCTGGTAGCACACACCTATAACCCGTGGCTCTGGAGGCTGAGGCAGGAGCATCACTGAGTTCAGGTCGAGACTGAGTTATGTAGTGAGTTGAAGGCCAACCTGAACTACAAAGTGAGACTGTCTCAAAAAAAATAAAGAGAACCCAGCCGAGACTACACAGTAACAAAGCAAAAACTACCAATGAAGAAACAGCAGATATATTAAGTCAGCATAATCGTTCATTCTTGATTGATTGATTTATAGTATCAAAACATTTTATCAGCTGTATTGTACATTAACAAAGTGGATTTATGTATACTACTGATATTTATTGTATTTGGGCCTGTGAGTACCCAGAGCTGATGGTAAAATGGGGTGTAAGAGCGGAAGTGGTCACGCAATCACGGCAGAAGCCCGTCTTACTAGGGTTGAGACCCAGAGAGCCTGGTGTGCGTGCCTGGATGCTGGGTGGGGTCCTGGAGTGCTGCGTTGTGTGAACACTCAGTCATTCACCTTGGTTGGGGCCTGACTTCAGACTTGGGTGAGCTGAGCCTGCCATCTGAAGTCAGGGCTCCCTCTAGGGGGAGGGTGTTGAGTGCAGAAACGATAGAAACAGGGCCCAGCGCTTGGTTCAGAGCTGCTTTGGGCAAGTTGTACACCTTCTCAGTTGGAAATGCATTCCATTCTCTGTCCCTGCTTGTCAGAATCCCAGAACACGCCTGTGTAGATAATACGTCCGATGAGCTGCTGTCCCACCTCCCACTTCGGCTGTGTTTTAGCCTTTAGCTCTGCCAAAATGTGCACTCCCCCCATGTTTTTTTGGGGCAGGCTGTCACTGTGTAGTTCAGTCTGGGTCTTGAACTTGCAGTGACCTCCTGCCTCAGCCTCATGAGTGCTGGGGTGCAGGCATGCGCCAGATGCCTGTGAACTGGAATTTTATTACTGCCCCAGACCAGCAAGTGAGACCTTCACTGCTGTCCGTGCTGTTGGCACTGTGCTCTGGGCCCTCTGTGTCCTCCCTATGCGCTTGCTGTGCGAGCTGGGCTTACCGATGCATCCCTTCCCCAGTTCCATTTCTCTTGCGGTAGCCTCCCTTTCTGTGTGGCCTTCACTGCTGTTCCTCACACTACCTGGCTTCTGAAGCGTTTTCTTGTCCTGTGGGGTGGCAGGCAGCAGAGCCACTCGAGAAGCCAGCTTAGGTTTTATTGTGTGAGGAGAGTATTTCGGTTTCACTGCTGACCTTTAACTTGGTGAAGTTGGCCTTTCAAAATAAGGTAGTTTTTGTGATTCAGAACGTATAAGTAAGGTGCTTACGTGTCATGGAATTACATAGGTGGGTTATAAGCAGTTTGTATTTTAAACATTGAGTGACCAGATGTGAAAAAGCCTTCCTATACCCTCCTCAGATTATCCTGTGCATTCCTTTGATGGACGGAAGCGGATGATCTTGAGCACTATTTCGTGGATGGGAGGAAAAAATCCATTTCTGGGGATTGCTTACATCACCGTTGGATCCATCTCTTTCCTTCTGGGAGTCGTCCTGCTAGTGATTAATCATAAATATAGAAACAGTAGTAACACCGCTGACACCATGGCGTTTTGAGGTTGGCGCATAAAACTCTTTTTAAAAAGCAGTCTTTGTCCTTTGCTTCTTCCAAACTGTGGATGACTTATACAAACACACGACACGTTTAAAATTTAGTCATGTTGCTATCAGTGCTGAGTGTGCTGAGCTTGCATCTTAACGTTTGCTGCTTACGAGACAGCGCACACGGTGCGTGTAGCTTTTCACAGAAGGGGCATTTCCTGCTTAAGTGCTTGTGCTGTCGGTATGTCATGGATACACGATGCTGTACATGTGTGCCTCTTGCGTGACAAGAGGGGCTGTACGATGCATGCACTGCAGGCATGGCGGCGTACACCTGTGATCCCGTCCCTCGGGAGGCTGGGCAGGAGGGTCGCCGTGGGCTCAAGGTCAGCCTGCACTGTTAGTGAGATCCTGTCTCAAAACAAGATGTGCGGGTATAGTCACTTGCTAACCTTTGGACTCAGAGTCACAAAATATGGAAAAACTCCAATATAAGTCCTTCATCACTGTTTGCCCTGGGTAAAGGCGTGGACTGTCTGTGTTTAGTGTTCCATGGATTGAGTTAGTCTGTGGTTACAGTTTTTGATCAAGCACAGCATTGATTTCAAAGGACATGCTTGTCTTGTCTAGTATGAAAAGTAATGTGCATGTCTAAAGAGGGCAGGAGTGTCCTGGACAGGATTTAAGTTTCTTCTTTTTACCTGTTAAAACATTACACTCAGGAACCCCAGCTTAGCTGAATTGTCTTATGTATGGTCATTCCCTTGAAGCTTAGTTTTATAAGGGAAAAGAAGGTGACATGCACACTCTTCAGCAGACCTCCGTCCCCTGCCCCCGCTGTAAGGTAGCGGTCTGAGCGCAGAGGGGTCTATGCTGCTCGTTCTTGTGGTCTAACATCCAGAGTCTTCCTTCAGCACTGCAGACACCTCAGGCTGCCCTCACTTGGCAGGTAAGTGTTTTGGCCTAACATGTTGAAACTTTGACTTCCTCTGTGTCTCCTTCAAGTTTTGCCTACAGGCTGTATACACAAGTATAGAGGAGGATGCGGGGTCTCCTTGTGTCAGTTTGGTTGGTTTTCCAAGACATGCTTTAGGAAGACGTTCTGTAAATTTTCTACTTAAGTTCTGGGAATTGGGGAACATGTACATGGAGATTATTAATGAGAATTATTTTAATATTGCTTAGTGAATAAATGCTGTATTTGTTTATTTGTTTGCTGTGGAACTTATTCTTGAAGTGGGTGTAAATTTAATTTTTCTACATACATGAAAGTGTATATATTATCAGGTGACTTGCATCTTATTTTTACTAATGTAACAGGTTTATGTAGAAGAATGCCTGTTATTCACAGTTTATAATAATTTTCTTAAGTATGTTTGAAATCAGAAGGTCTGGGTAATGTATCAGTTTTGATTAATACATGTTTTTTTAAGAAATAAACATGTAATGGTTATAATAGAAATTGGCACACTAAGTTTTGTATAATGTGACAGTTAAGAGACTTATAATTCCTAGTGACTTTTAGCTCTGAAAGCGTTGCTTGTGTGAGTTCGTTGGTGCGTGGTTCTCCTACAATGCAGAGCGTTCTTTACCTAGGTACATTCTATGCTCAGTCCTTCCGAACGCCGCTGGCCCAGAGGTGGTCTTGCACGCTTGTGCAGTCTTGCCTTCTGGTTCGTTATCAGGAAGGAGTGTTCTTCTCACTGTCCAGATTAAGTTGGTACTGTTTAAGGAGTTCTGCTGTTTTGAATCTTTCTTTTAAACTGGGGACCAAGGATATTGCTAAAGGAACGGTTGACCAGATAAGAAGATGGAATTTTGAAATACAGTTGGCATTTTATCCATCTCTCAGTGTACCGATGAGCCTGAGGTCTCCTGCCGCTTGAAGTGGAAGGAATTCCTCTTGTTAAATATGAAGAGTCTAGGGCTTTCACATGGCTGCTTGTAAAACGAGGATGGAGGGTTTCTCTTTCCTACAGGCTTTCTGCTCATGTTTTGGAAACATTGGTATCCTGCAAACTTCAGAGGATTTTACAACATTTCAAGACCACAGAGTTAAGTAGAAGACTCAGAAAAATACACTGATTTGTAGGAAGTATTTGAACATGAAAAATTTCCTATTGAAGAAATTCAGTAAATAAAATCTACGAAATTTCATTGAATTTGTAAGGCTCTTTATGGCTAAGTGGGAACAAATACCTGTACTGCCTGTCAGAGAATCATTCAACCAGAAGAAGACTCAAGGGAATATTAGTTATTGGGTAGTGACGGAGTTGCCTTGTAACCTTGATTATATTGGTAGTATAATATCTGTTGGTATGCTCTGTGTTAATAAAAATGAACAAAACTAGTTTTACTGTGTTTAGATGTCTTGCTGAAATAGCAGTGTCCCCGTGCTGTTGCTGATGGTTTTTACCTTTCAACTTTAAGCCCAGGTCAGTGAGTCTGGCTTTTAACTTCATGCTTAGATTTAATAAAATTCCCTCCATCATTATATTATTGTATTTGTGTTAATCACTGACAGCATAGATCACAGGATACAGGTGTCACTGAAGGAATTCTGTTCTTACAGAAGTGGTCAGCTTGTCGTCTGAGTTACAGGCAGACTGGCTAAGTTGGGTGTCCCATCAAGGGAGGCATTTGGGTGCTGCAAGTACAAAGGTTGCATGGGGGATGAAAGGCTGTCTAGTAGGGAGAGGCTGAGAGATCAGGGCTCCTGGGTGCGGCCATGCAGCCTGCTGCCGCCTCTGTAAGGGATGCTGCCTTAGAATTACTGCGTGGTGCTTTGTTGCTTAAATTGTAGTTTTGCTCTTTACAAACATGGCAGATTTGAGGGGCTGGTGGAAAAAATGAGGAAATGCAGCTTGAGGGGTTTTGCTTCACATAAATGCGTGTGGCAGAGGTAGGGTGACCCAGGGTGTTGTAAGCATTGGTCAGCTCTTGCATCGCTCAGTAAACACAAAAACCACATTGCTCCTAATGTTGGGACATTCAAAATGAATACGGCATATTGTTTTAAAAACTAGTGAGACCATGGCAAATTTATTTACTTGTATTTATAAAATAAATACGTGTAAACAACTTTGAAATGAAATAGTAAAGTTCTAAACGCTTTATGATTAGAACTTTATAAAGTTCTCCCACCAGGACTTCCCTTCTTCTCTGGACTTCCACTTTGACCCTAGAATCATTCATAGTACTTGCCTCAGTTTATCTCAATAATACAGCCATTTGACTCATCCAATTTTAAGTTTTGAACACTGTTAGTCCTTTGGACAATGCGACAGGAAGGCTTAGGTGTAACACACCTCTCACCTTTCTGTAATGTTACATCTTAATAAATAGCTCAGTTATTGTTTATGACTATAAAACATGTTATAGCAGCCTGTACCATGATTATGTTTTTGTGTATAATTTTTTTTTCCTGGTGATAGTAATTGTTTTGGTCTTGACATGTAGGTAGTTTTCTGCAAACCTGCCTTCAAACTTTTCCCAGTTCTCTGTTGGGTCCACCACGGTCTTTGCGCTAGACTTGAAGGGTTATGTGCCCAGGTAACAGGTCGTGATGTATGTGCTTTCTCTGGCAGGGTTTCTCCTGCAGCTCTTGGCCTGATGCAGGGCTGGTTATCTCCCAACCTCCAACCTCTGCTGTCGCCCGTGGGTCTTGTGTCTTCTCATACTACTTGTGTACTGTGCCCTTCTGAAAACCACACAGTTGCTGTAGAAATGGGCACAGGAAAGGGAAGCCTTCTGAGTCTTGCCTAATATGCCTTTTTTTTTTTTTTTTTTTTTTTTGCTAATATGCCTTTTGGCTCCCTCACATTTCATTGAGAGCTACAGTTTTCTTTCCACGTTGTGAAGGTGTTTTCTCCCCTCCTTCCTCACTCCCATTCCTGCTCCTGAGAAACCTGATCTGATCTTGGAGGCTGGGCATCCAGGATTGGAGCCTGCGTTTCTTTTTTCCTTGGTTGTTTGCGTGCTATTGTCTGTCTTCTTTCTAGAGTTCTTCAATTTGATCTTCTGGCATCATCTTTTATTGAACTAATATATTTTTTACAATTTTAATTTCTTTCCCTTTATAAAGGTTTTTGGAGACAAGGTCTCACCATGTAGTTGAATTCAGGCTGGCTTTGAGCTCACTGTGCAATCGAGCTGTCCTCATGCTAGCAGAGATCCTCCTGCTGCAGCCTCCTGATTGCTGGGATTACAGACACGAACCCCCACACCAGGCCTACAATTATTTTAATTTCTCAGACTTTTTTAAATTTTTTTGTTCCCACAATATCCTAGATGGCTCATAAATAGACTTATTTTTCTGAGAATAATTATGGATTGCTTTTTTTTTTTTTTTTTTTTTACTGCTTTTGTTTGTTTTTGAGACAAGATCTCCCTGTGTCATGTCGTTCAGGCTGCCTTTTAGTCACTGTGCATCCTGGCTGTCCTGGAACTTAAGGTGTCTTCCTCTGTCTGCCTCCTGAGTTCTGGGATTACAGGCGTGCACCAGGTGTGCACAATGTACAGTATTTAATATTATTTTTAATTATTTTTCACCCTCTGTTCATATTATAGATGCCTTTCCTTTTATTTCTGGAAAGTCTTGGTAATCTGATAGACCCCCAAAGAGTACGTGAAAGGTGTTTGTGGGCAGTATTTCACAAATGAGGTTTCACTAGCACAGTGCCATTCCCTAGATGACTTGTTTTTTATTTGCTTTGCTCTGTGTGTGTGTGTGTGTGTGTGTGTGTGTGTGTGTGTGTGTGTGTCTTGTGTCTTTGGGACAGGGTCTCTGGGTAGTTCAGGCTGGCCTCAACTTCACTTTGTAGCACAGGCTGCTCTTAAACTCACAGATCCTCCTGTCTTTACCTATTGTTTTAGTAACTGAGCTAAATAAATAATTTTCTAATGGTTCTCTACCTATTAATACATTAGCAAGGCTTTTAGTATCTTTGCTCACACTTAACAGACTAAAATCAGTGATTTGAATTTCATTGTCACATTCACAAAGATCTCATAATTTAAAAACTGACTCTTAAGATTTTTTGTGAAAAATCCCTCTCATCACCATCGTTACTTTCCCAAGTCCCCTAATCTTTCCAAGAGGAAGAGTAATCCCTGTGTGGAGAGCTTCAGAAGGTGGAGCAGGAAATGGCAGTAATTCAGCTTCTCTGAGACTCAGAATCAGATGCTGGAAAGCAACATAAGAAGGAGAAACAGTAGATGCCTGGGAGGAGGCAAGGAAAGAAGCTACAGGGAAGTTAGCATGGAGATGGGTGTGTGTATGTGTGTATGTGTGGGTAGCACATGGAGACCGTGTGTGTGTGTGTGTGTGTGTGTGTGTGTGTGTGTGAGAGAGAGAGAGAGAGCGCACGAGCGAGCATGGAGACGGGGGTGGGGGGGTAAGTCTTTCTCCCCAGCCTGAGGCAAAGGAGCTGGAGTAAGTTTTCCCTCCAGCCTGACTCAGGCAAGGGAACACAGGGGCTCCCAAGGGGCTCAGAAGAGAAACCATGGTAATGAAAGCAGGTGATCCTTCTGGTCTGCAGGGACACCCCACCTCCCGATTGGTATTTAACAGAACAAACCACCTGTAAACACAGCTCTCACCTGTAGTCCTATACTGGATATATCAGAGTAGTATATCTTAAAGTGTAATTCAATGCAAAGGGTACATAGAAAGCTGAAAATTTGTCTTAGGCAATTTCCAGTGGAATTTTGAAAATTTGTTCAAGAAGCCAGGTCTCTGACACACTGCTAATGATGTGGGAGAGAGACCAAGTCCTCTCTCCCACATCGAATAGAAATGGAAAGGTCAGTATAGTTTTACTGCCAAGAATATGGCCAAATTGTCAGACAGTTTAGCCAATTATAATTAATGATCACTATTTGGAAAAATACTTAAAAGTAGAACATTTATTTGGAAAGTTTGGACACATCTACATACCATAAATTTTAACTTTTGCGAATGAGGGAAGAAGTTTCACAAAAAGTTGAAATTAAAGGGAGAACCTCCTTGTCATTTTGGTAAGCAGTCTGCTACAGAATCTTTAAGGAGGCTCTTGGGTTAAATTTATCCTTATTTTCTACAAATTTATTTGTTTGTTCAGTATAGGGTCTTACTGCACAACTCGTAGTAATCCTGCCCCAGCCTCCCCAGAACTGGGATTACAGGTACCACCACACCTGGTTTCAGGGCCGGCACAGTGTGCCCGGG